AAACAAAACAAAACAAAAACCTCTGAAGTCCTAGACTACAGTAATATAAAATTTGGAATAAGGATACTGTATATGGAATTAAAGCATTCTATAGTGCATATACTATTTAGATGGATGGTAAAGACATTGACTTTAGATTTTGTTATGTTAAAAATGCACGCTTGTCTACTTTTGGTTTTGTTGCGTTTCAAGCCTCAAATCCAAGAAATAGTTACACTACCCATGTCAAGGTGTTGTATTTAAGTCTTCAATTCATTTGAGTTGATTTTTACATATGGTGAAAGTCAGATGGGAATCTCATTTACTTTTTCTTTCTTTTTTTTTTTGATACCAGAGATTGAATACAGGGGTGCTCAACTACTGAGGCACATCCCCAGAAATTTTTATGTTTTTTTATTTTGAAACAGAGTCTTCCTATGAGGCTGGCTTTGAACTTTCAATCCTCCCACCTCATCCTCCTAAGTGGCTGGAATTATAGGCTCATTTACCTTTTTTGGGGGGGGGGTACTAGGGATTAAGCTCAGTGGCACTCAACCACTGAGCCACATCCCCAGCCCAATTTTGTATTTTATCTAGAGACAGGGTCTCAATGAGTTGCTTAGTGCCTTGCTTTTGCTGAGTCTGGCTTTGAACTCACAATCCTCCTGCCTCAGTTTTCCAAGATGCTGGGATTTCAGGTGTGCACACGGTGCTCAGCTAGGCTCATTTACTTTTCTAAATTTATTTTTTTAACTGACAAAATTATGTATATCATGTACAACATTGTTTTGAGATATCTATACATTATGAAATGAATAAATTCAGCTAATCAGTAAATGCACTATTTCACAGACTTAATATGTTTTTTGTGGTGAAACTCTTTTTAATTGATTTTATTTTTTAAATACATGACAGCAGAATGCATTACAATTCTTATCACACATATAGAGCACAATTTTTCATATCTTTGTATATAAAGTATGTTCACGCCAATTCATGTCTTTATACATGTACTTTGTATGTTTTTGCATTACAATTCTTATTAGATAATACCACAATTTTTCATGTCTCTGTTTGTATATAAAGTACTTTGAGGGCTGAAGTTGTGGCTCAGCAGTAGAGCGCTTGCCTCGCACGTGTGAATCCTCAACACCACATAAAAAAATAAATAAATAAACAAAATAAAAATATTGTGCCTATGTATAACTAAAAAAAAATAAATAAAAAGTAGGTTAACACCAATTCGTGTCTTCATACATGTACTTTGGATAATGATGTCCATCACATTCTACCATCCTTGCTAATCCCCTGCCTCCTCCCTTTCCCTCTCTCCCTCCTCTTTTCTATCTAGAATTCATCTATTCCTCCCATTTTCCCCCCTCCATACCCCACTATGAGTCAGCCTGCTTTATATCAGAGAAAACATTCAGCATTTTTTTGGGGAAATTGGCTAACTTCACTTAGCATTATCTTCTCCAATGCCATCCATTTACTTGCAAATGCCATGATTTTATCCTCTTTTATTGCTGAGTAAAATTCCATTGTGTATATATACCACATTTTAAAAAATTAATTCATCCACTGAAGGGCATCTAGATTGGCTTCAGAGTTTAGCTTTTGTGACTTGTGCTGCTATAAACATTGATATGGCTGTGTCCCTGTAGTATGCTGTTTTTAAGTACTTTGGGTATAGTCCGAAGAGAGGGACAGCTGGGTCAAATGGTGGTTCCATTCCCAGATTTCCAAGGAATCGCCATACTGCTTTCCATATTGGCCGTACCAATTTGCAGTCTCACCAGCAATGTATGAGTGTACCTTTGCCCCCACATCCTCACCAACACTTATTGTTTCTTCATAATAGCTTCTATTCTGACAGGAATGAGATGATATCTTACAGTAGTTTTGATTGGCATTTCTCTGATTGCTAGAGATGATGAGTTTTTAAATATATTTGTTGACTGATTGTAGATCCTCTTCTGAGAAGTGTCTGTTCAGGTCCTTGGTCCATTTGTTGATTGTGTTATTTGTTTTTTTGGTGTTTAGCTTTTTGAGTTCTTTATATACCCTAGAGATTAGTGCTCTATCTGATGTGTGAGGGGTAAAGATTTGCTCCCAGGATGTAGGCTCTATGTTCACCTCACAGATTGTTTCTTTTGCTGAGAAAAAATTTTTAGTTTGATTCCACCCCATTTATTGATTCTTGTTTTTAATTCTTGTGCTATAGGAGTCATATTAAGGAAGTTGGGGCCTAATCCCACATGATAAAGATTAGGGCCTAGTTTTTCTTCTATTAGATGCAGAGTCTCTGGTTTAATTCCTAGGTCCTTGATCCACTTTGAGTTGAGTTTTTTGCATGGTGAGAGATACGGATTTAACTTCATTTTGTTGCATATGGATTTCCAGTTTTCCCAGCACCATTTGTTGAAAATGCTATCTTTTCTCCAGTGCATATTTTTGTCTAATATAAGATAATTGTAATTTAATGGGTTAGTCTCTGTGTCCTCTCTTCTGTACCATTGGTCTACCAGTCTGTTTTGGTGCCAATACCATGCTGTTTTTGTTACTATTGCTCTGTAGTATAGTTTAAGGTCTTGTATAATGCTAAGGAATGCTTTAGCTATTCTGGGTCTCTTATTTTTCCAGATGAATTTCATGATTGCTTTTTCTATTTCAATGTGGAATGCCATTGGGATTTTGATTGGAATTGCATTGAATCTGTATAGTGCTTTTGGTAGTATGGTCATTTTGATAATGTTAATTCTGCTTATCCAAGAGCAAGGTAGATCTTTTCATCTTCTAAGGTCTTCTTTGATTTCTCTCTTCAGGGTTCTGTAGTTTTTATTGTATAGATCTTTCATTCCTTTTGATAAGTTGATTCCCAAGTATCTTATTTTTTTAGGCTATTTTGATTGGGGTAGTTTTCCTCATTTCCTTCTCAGAGGCTTTGTCACTGATATACAGAAATATCTTTGATTTATGGGAAATCAACAACAAAATAAAAATAAAAATTTCTCCATCACCCGGAGACTAAACAATGTGGTGAAACTCTTACAATGAGGAATTCAATTTTGTTCTTTTGCAGATGAATACTGAGATTTCTCAACATCAGTTTTTTGAAGAGATTATCTTATCACCATTTTATGTTCTTGACACCCTTTTTTCAGTTCTATTAATATCTGTGAGCCCTAATATAACATTAACAACTTTCAATTGCTATATTCTTTTAATGAATTGATCCCTTTATAATTACAAAGTATCCTTTTTTATCTCTTATGAAAGTTTTTTACTTAAACTCTATTTTGTCTATAAAAGTGCAGACACCTCTTCTCTCTTTTAGCTATCACTTGAATGGAATGTTTATTTCCATGCTTTTGCTATCAGCTAGGTATGCTCTAGGTCAAAGTGAGTCTCTTTCAAGTAGAGTATGGTAGGCTCTTGCTTTTATTTTCCATCCTTCTATCCACTTTACACTTTAATCTTTTAATTGACTAATTCAATCCATTTACAATTAAAACAATTATTGACAGGTAATTACCAGCAAAACATCTGTTGTTTGTGATATTCCTGCAAATCTTGAAAATACCTTTGTTACTCCTATCTTGGTGCCTTCAGTCTTGGATTAGTAATTAAATATCTCCCTAGGCCTAGGGGTTTTTATCTGCAAGTTGTACCAAACACCAAAATAAACAATGTTTTAATCTTTCACAAATTCTTCCAGAAAATAAAAAAGTAGAAAAAAAGGGAGACCATTCTGCAGTTAATTTGTGAGTATTCTATAATCTCAATACTAAAACTAGACAAGAACATTTACAGAAGGAAAAATCACAGCTGAAAGTTGTCCATGAATATAGATGGAAATATCCCCAAAAATGTATTATCAAAACAAATTCAATAATTTATATAAAAGATAACATAATAGGCAGATTCGATTTACCCCAGGAAGGCAAGTTTTATTCAACCTTCCTTAGAATATTTCTTAATAAAATTTAGCCATTTTACAGATTAAAAGAAAAATATGAATACCTATGTTGATGCAGAAATTTCATTTATTTGATATTACTTAATTAATTTATATTAACCAGTATTGAAAAAATAATAAAATACCTTTGTTATAAATGAGGAGAGAGCAGAATTTTAAGAGAGTAAAGAAAAGAAATAAATAGAAACTTGGAATTAAAAAGTGATTCTCTAGGGCTGGGGTTGTAGCTCAGTGGCAGAGCGCTTGCCTGGCACATGCGGGCACTGGGTTCAATCCTCAGCACCACATAAAAATAAATAAACAAAATAAAGATATTGTGTCCATGTATAACTAAAAATATTAAAAAAAAAAAAAAAAGAAAAGAAAGTGATTCACTAGTTGGGTGCAGTGGTGCATGCCTGTAATCCCAGCAGCTCAGGAGGCTGAGACAGGAGGTTCGCTAATTCAAAGCCATCCTCAGCAGCTGTGAGGCGCTAAGCAACTCGGTGAGACCCTGTTTCTAAATAAAGTACAAAATAATGCTGGGGATGTGGCTCAGTTGGTTGAGTGCCACTGAGTTCAATCCGTGGTATTACCCCTCCTCCCCCAAAAAGTGATTCACTGAATCCTTGATTGCCATTTGCTGGAAGCCCAACTGGTTGCTTTGGTGGACATTCAGTTGCTTGGCTCCTGAATCTCCTCCAGGTCAACAGGACTTACCCAAACCAGCAAGCAGAAAGTCATGTATGTAGTGACTGCTTTCAGAGGCAATCATTGGAGTCTAAGGGAACCCAGTACAATTTGCTAGCATGCCCACCAGGCTCTATGATGTGGAGAGTGATGGTGCTTGTCTGATTGAGTGATGCAGACTGCACACCTGTCACAGCCGTGATTTGAGGGAGATATTCAATTCAAGGGGCTGAATTGAGACTGTGGCACTACACAATGTTTTCATTGAGTTGAACCACCTAATTAATAGTCTACAATCTAAGTAACTAAATTGCTAACAAGCTAAATCAATCCAATTAACTGTATAATTAACTAAATTGTCTAAATTGGTTACCTGAATCCAACATTGGAGTGAAGCGCAACGTGCCACTCTTCACGGTGCAGACGTTGCACATTCATTGGATTATGAAAAACTAAAAGCAAAGAGTTGTCTTGGGTGTGGTAGTAAGAATCAATACACCGATACTGCTGGTGGGCTTCTTGAAGAACCTGAAAAATCAAAATAATCACGTTGTCCACTCTTTTTCTCAAGAGAAGTTTCTCCCACAAAGGCAAATCTTCCCCCCACCTTCTGCCTCCCCTAATTTCCATTATTTTAAAGTCAAATTGGGATTCTCAGAGGATTCTTTCTTAACTTATAGAAAGTGGGAGCATAAAAGACATATATTTTGTGAAGCATTTCAACAACTCTAGTAAACAAAACAAAACCAACAAAAAACCCCAAAACCAAACCAGAACAAAACAAAAGCAAATAGTAGGCTCCAGGCATGTGCTAAAAGTGTTTTTGATTAAGGTTGGTAGATAATCATTATTTCCCTTGCCTTCATTTGGATCATCTCATTTTATCATCATTAAACTTAAAAACTTCATATAAATAGGTGCTGTGGACTAAGTTGTGAGCACCCGGCTCACACCAGTCATTCAGCTCTGTCACCCTTTCACACTCCCAGCAGTACTCTGGACTGTATCATGCTGCATTATAGTGAGGTGGGGTGAGCGATCCTTCTGACACATGTCATTTCCATTGGYCCTCCAGCTCTGGTCTTTCCTAAGATATATCACCCTCAGCATGCACTGCAATGGCAGCTACCGACAGAGGGACACAGTGGGCAGCTGCTTTGTCCTGCCAATCCACGATAAGGAAATTGTCCATAGAGAGGTATATTAAAGAGTTACGAGCTTTTGTTTTTGTTTTCAATGTTACTCTAATGTAGGCAGCTTTTGGTTCTCTACTATTTGGACCATCTGAAGGCATGGAATTGCCCGTTACATTATGAGAGAGCTGATTTGCTTTTGCTTTCATTTCTAAACTGGTAGCATAACCAGAATAATACATTTCCGTCCCCAGTTTAGTCCCCTATATTTAGTCTTTATGGAGTGACACTTAAATTTTTACATCTGTTCCCTGAGAACCATCACAAAAAACATGCATGTGGTGAATATCTTTGCAACTAAAAAAAAATTGCTATAAAGAGTACTATCCATTACTTACCAGCTTTTTATGAAAAGCAAATTCCTTTAAGACTATAAAACCCAGAAAAATAAATGGGTTTGTTTATGATGAAGATATATCCTTACTTCTGTTAAATAAAAGACCTGCAAACATGGTGTTTTTATATTTGCTTTGGTGCTAGGAAATACAGCACTGAGTTTCTCAGAGTTATAGACCTCAATGTTTGATAAGTGTTTACATCTTCTCCTTTTCACTAATTGGCTTTTGCCCTTTATTCTCTACTAATATTGTTGGTCTCRGTAATCAGTACTCATTGTGTGCCAGGTACTGTGTATTGACAAAACAAACATGAACAAGATAGATAAAAATGTCCTCTTAAATTTGGTTAAGACTTTTGTAGATCTGGAGTTCAGATGAAAATGATGAAATATCTGATGTGTAGGGAACAGATCAGAGGAGAGCAAAGTGGAAGCTGACTAACAATGAGGAGGATATTTCACTAGAATGAKAGGATGACAATCAGATGAAAGTAGTGAAAATGCAAAGACGAATTTAAAGTCTTTTTAGAAGTGGTGAGGTCCCCACGGTTCCCCTTGACAATTTAGAGAGCCACACTGCTGTCCATTTCCACCTCCCGAAGAAGGGAGGATGCTTATCTATAGAAGTAAACCAACTGGTTCTAAGATCAGGGGACCCGGCCACTAATGAAGGGGGAAGAACATTCCAGTAAAAAAAAGGGAGTTTGAAAAAGTCTAAATCAGTTTTGTCCAATAGCAACATAAGGTGAGCCACAAATGTGAGCCACATTTATAATTCTAAATTTTATATTTGCTACATTTTTTTAAAGGGAGAGAAACTGGTGGAATTAATGTCAGTGGCATATTTTATTTAGCTCAATATATAAAAAATTACCATTTCAACATACAGTTAATATGAAAACTACTAATGGGTTAATGYAGGTCTAGAATACTGAATGTAAGAAACCTAACTTCCTTCTCTTACCACTCATCTCTCAAAACCCTGACGGACAGGTTTTATGTCTTTGGGGTAAATTAGGTTTATTTTTCCTAGATAATCTAAACATCCCCAAAGAATAGACCTGATATAACAACACTGATGGATTTCCCAAGGAAACCACAGCCAAATAACCTAACTATGAAGCCACAGTTATTGACACTCYTCATAGAGTACCTGTGTGTATCTTTGTCATATTTTCAATGTTTCATTATTATTTTGAGCAAAAGAAAAAGCATTAACTATTACCCCTAAYATGAAAAATGGAGACAAAGAAAATGAAAACCTCCTCTACCAACAATAAGAAGAGGAAGGAAGGAAGAAGAAAAKAAACTTGGAGGGGAAAAAAAGAGGTGATTCAGGGAGAGAGCGACTTCATGGAAGTACTATATAGAGAAAAGAGAAGATATTGAATCGGGAATGTGAAATTTATCCTATTTATACTTTGAATTATGTAGAGACCTTTAGGCACTTAAAATCATGATTTCAGAAACAGAAGGCTCAGAGTAAGGATTGAATGGAAGCTGAGTAATATCTCCAGAACCAAAAGACAAAATAGAAATGTTAGAAACTGGGAAAGAAAAGATAAAGGAATTGGAAGCTCCATCCAAGAAGTCCAATACCAGAATAATGGGAGTTCTAGGAAGAGAGATGAGAGAAAATGGAAGTGGAGGATTGTCAAAGACTGTCTCTAGGTTGACTTCCCAGGATGTAAACACAGGATTTTCTGGGTTGCACTAGGTTCACCAGAACAATACATAGACCCTCACCACCACAAATCAGCAGGAAATTCAGAACACTGGAACAAAGAGAAGATCTTCCAACCCTCCAGAGAGAAGAAAAAATTCATTCAAACAACTGACTGGGAATATGGAGAACTTCATTCTGTTTCTCTTTAGACCAATCTGGGAAGCCACAAGACTATTGAGGAATGCCTTTAAAATTTTTTTTTTTTTAAAGTCTTCTACTTCTGTTTTTTTTTTTTTTTTTTCTCCCATTCCTGGGCAGGCATTGAGGGGAAATTCTTTTCAACTCTGCATTTTATATAAAGTCAAACTGTCAGTCACTGTAAGGATAGAATTAAGATGTTTTCAAATATCCAATGTCTCAAAAATTTGCCTGTTATGTATCTTAATTAAGGAAGCTAGTGAAAGAGGTGATCYTCCACCAAAAAGAGAGTAGACTGTGAGATGAAGGACGCATAGTATCTAACTGGAAGAAGAGGCAAAGGTGTGTCCAGGGGGGAATCACAGGGCCATTACTCTCTAGCAAGCTTAGAGTGTATGGGTGAGATATCACTAAGACAATAAAATTGATAGAATGTCTATCATGCTTGAATATATTAAGAGATTTACTCCACAGTAGAGAATTTAAGGTTGAATTAATGATAAATGCATAGTAAATTAAATAATTGGGGAAAAATAATTATCAACCTCAGGAAAATAAAGAGAAATGCTCACCTAGAATAATGCACAGTTCAGTTGTGAATAGTATTCACATAACTGAAATAGGAGAAATATCAAGTATCAATTTAACCAAAAGTTATGATATGGATAACAGTATCAGCAAATGAAGAAGTGCTTGAATGAATGTAGAATGAATATAGTGTGTGTGTGTGTGTGTGTGTGTGTGTGTGTGTGTTTGTATGTTGAATGGGGTAGACAGAGTTTGATCTCAAATAGGAGTCAATTAATAATGATGGCCCCAAATAAAACTAAAACTAGTAAAACTGACTGTTTCTTAGAGCTGACAAAGTATCAAAAGAAATGGGTAAATGCACTGAAGATTTTTGTCTCTGGGAATTGAAGTATGGTGGCGAGGGTAAGAGGCTGTTCTTTTCCATAACAAGAGTCTGTAGAACCTTCTGAGTTTGATGATAAGTGAATGTAAAGCTTTGATAAAAAATAAAATACAAATTAAACAGACAAAACCAAAAGTACAAGTTTTTATCTAAAATATAAATCAGTAAAAAGAGTTGATTTTAGGATTATTCTTATTTGGCACAGTGGTTAAAAGCACAAGTTCTGGAGCCAGATTTCCTGGGTTTACATCCTACTTCTCACTTATCAGTCATGTTATCTTGGGTAAAAGTGGCTACTGGTCAAAGTGCCTCAGTTTCTAGTATTTAAATAGTTTCTGCATCATAAGGTTATTGTGAAGAATGAATGAGCCAAATAATGCATACTAATCATTACCTAGCACATGATAAGGGCTCAGTAAATGCTAGCTATCATACGTTCTACTGACTTATTAATCAAAGCTGTGAAATGTAATGAAAGGTAAATGGAATGGACAATAAAATGGAGAAAATGGGGCTGTCTCCCAGGAAAATGTTACTCTTTTTTCTAGAAAACAATTGCAGCAGTCTTAAAAGATGTTATAAAAAATCCCTTCAGAAAGTGTATTTTAAAAGATTTCCTGGGAATGCTCAGCCCAATCTGAGAATAAATTCATTTTATAGCTCAAGTAAATGAGAATATTGATCTGAACTAGATCCGAGTGACCCAGAAGTGAACTGCTCTAAATCACAGTGCAGATCTCCAGACCTATCTGACCATCTCCTGGAGAATCACAGCCCATAAATACCTGAAGCAGTTCTTTCGGTTTAAAATGTTCAGTAAAACTCCAGTCCATTAGACTGCGCTGCTGCGTTTTCTTTATGTCCTCTAAATCTGCTTCCACCATCATCTTCTTGGGTTTCTAAAAAATTATAGGAACACAATTTCAGCTATAATTTGTTTTAAGTCCAAATGGAGCCCTCTTGGACTCTGTCAACTAACCAGCATGCGCTCCATCTAATTGGGGAAATCTGCATATGTATAAATCCATATGGCAACATTTTAGAAGAGTTGCTGCCAGAAAGAGTATGCCTTTGGCTTTTTTTTATGGGCAACATAATCTAAATATTTTTATTGTTAGGTTATACTCTTCTGAGTCCTGTTAGCAATTACAGGCAGGTTTTCTGAACTCACTTCAAGACAACGTTAGTGCGACATGGCTGTATGGTCAGCAGGTGTTTGTGAGGTTGCCAAGCCACACTGTCTGGAGAGGAGCAAGGAGCTGGGAAGCTTTGCTTAAGCGGGCTAGCTAGCAGAATTAACTCCTTTCTCTCCAGTTGCAGCTGGTCTGAGGATGTCTGAATAACCCTTCTCCTCTAGTATCAGTATTTTCCTTTTAAGTCTCTCTCTCTCTCTCTCTCTCTCTCTCTCTCTCTCTCTCTCTCTCTCTCTCTCTCTCCTCTTTTTCAAACGTTTCTCAATCTGGGTCACAGTTTTCTCAGATCATCTGACTTGTCATCTACACTGTTAGGAAAAATAATTCCTTACCTTTTCAAGAGAATCAGCCTTTGTGACCGCTTCATCTTTGATCTCATTGTTCGTGGTCTGCTCTGTAAATCAAAGACACCAACATCCAGTTGTGTTTGGGCTTTGTTCTTGCCTTTGGTCAGGGATGTGCCTTTTTGTTGCCCATATGATCTATGTTTCTGTGCTGAAAAGGTAATTCCTGAAAGGCATGTTTCGTGCCTCCCAAAAGTGTTTGTGTCAATAATTCTAAATCCATGCCTACCTAGAAGAGTTGTACTGGACTCTTGGAAAGGAGCCCTGTTTTTTATCTGATGTGTACTAAATCATATCAGATACTCTGATTCGAGGCTATCGATCAGTCATTTCAAACAACTTACCTTCACCTTTACAAACTGCAAATATTTACTGATTAAATTTGATTGACTTAATACATAACATGGCTTAGTACCCAACATGAGTCTTATGCTGGTGACAATCACAAAGCCCTTTTGAAATTTCTGGGCTCCTACCTGGACAGATTGGGGCCGGGGTAAGGGATGTATGGAGAGGAGAACTTGGTGGGTGGAAAGTTATACTATTTTGCGGAGCTTGTTTCTGTTTACCATTTAATAATTTAAAAACTATTTAATGAGCGTCTTCGGGTTTACAGATAAAGTTTAACAAGTTAAATAAATGGGTAGATGGACTCCATAGCACCTCCCCATGAACTAATATGAGTCGYGGACATTTGCTCTCCTAGTGACTGAAGAGTACACTTGGGTGATTGGGATTGTAATATCATCCTTGGCTGTGAAATGGTCATCTGAATGAACTGGACAGGAACAGATTCATGCTGTTGATTTCTGCATCACCAGAAAATACATGTTCCATGATAAATAAACTTAACATAGATCAACAGACATCTTTACTGTGACTGTCTCCCAACTTGTAACAGGCCCTTGTGATTGTGAATCTCTAGTAGAGAAATGGAAAAACTCTATGGTGTAGCTTTTTCCAAATTTGRCCAAAGAAATAGAGTATGTATGGCAAGGTGGGTCTTGTGGGAACATAGTTTGATGCTGATGAACAACTGAGTCAACCTGACTTCTTGTCACCCTTAGAATAATTGCAAACGATGTTCTATAAAGCTGTACTTAAATGCTGTAGGCTAACTCTCCAAATGCGTCTCCTTCACTGCCTTTTGCTCTTGCACTGCAGACAGGCCAGCTTGCTGTGTCTTGAGGACGTGGCCCTTGTTTCTATAGATGAGCCTATTTGCTTAGTTTGTAGATATCCGCCTGTTTCAAACTCTTGTTACCTTCTCAAGAGCCTTCTGGCTGTTACTCTGCTTTATTATTGACCCCATCATTTATCAGTGCTTGATACTATTTATTTGTTTATGGTCTGTCTTTCTGATTTGAAAGTAGATCCCTGGAGAACAGAAACTTAAGATAAAGTTCCTCACTGCATCCTGTAGGAACTCAGAGCCCCGTAGGAACTCAGTAATTATTTTTGACAGAATGAGGGGCATCCACATCATTTATTTAAACTAGAAATGATTGTTGAGCCACTTAGAGAGAAGGAAACCTGTAACAAAGGCTTATTTTGGCATCAATATAAAATTTACCTTTTTGTTGTATAGCAAAGAGAACCATATTTGGGCTTCTAGAGGGAGTAGTTAATTATGTCTATTGAGGACAAGCCAATGCTTTTCCTTCTTTCAGGAGCCCAGTTACTTACATTTTTTTTTTTTTTTTTTTTTTTTTGCTACTGGTTCCATTGGGCTGGTGAAGGTTGCAGCATGAATGTTCCATTTTGATTTAGAGGAAAACTATAAAGCTAATTTACCTCAGTATTTACATAAATATATCCATTCAAGAGAAAATTCAGGCCAACCATAACTCTAAATAGACCATACTGTCCCTTGTGTCCTTGAAGCAATTGATATGAAATCTGTGGAATAAAAATTCTTCTATTCTGTGGTCTGCCAGATTTCTGGGAGATTTGATATTCCCTCTTGTGTCTAAGGATCCAGAAGAAAAAAAAAAAATTCTCCAGTTTAGAAAATATGTTCTAAAAAAATATGCATCAGTTATTTTGTCAAAAGAAAGAACATTCTAATACTAATCTGAACTCTTTATTTAATAGTAGAGTAAAAATCATTTTCTTTTCTTCCTGTCTGATTTCTGCTTTCAACCGCATAATCCTTTGACAGTGTGATTCAGTAGTTTTTGACACATCTGGAAGTGGATGCTTTCTCATCCCTTTGAAAAACAGCTTTCCTAATCTGTTTTACTTTAGAGATAACAAGATCCCTCTGCAAAGCAGTTACTTTATTAAAAAAACACCCAACAAGCATAAAGGGCACATCTAAACCTACAGCCTCACGGTTATCAACTCTCAGGTTTTTCATAAATATCCAATAGGCCCTGTCAAGTTCAAAAACAGTCTCAGATGGAAATCCAGGGTTTGGTTAAGAAAAGCACAAATATTCAGCCCTTCATGTCCAGGAACAGACACAAAAGTGTATTTGATGCTAAGTTGGTTGTGCAAGAAATACATGAATGGTTTCTGCGTTGTTTAAAGAGAATTAAAGTGCCTGCTTTTGAAGTGGGAGTCAGAGCCAGGGGGACAATGTGAGATCAGCAACAGCACCCCCCACAGGACAGCCACCCTGTGCACCAAGGCCCAGCAGCCCTCCTCCATGGCCCCTGGGTGCAGGGCAACATTCACCATGCAGCTCTGAGGGTGGTAGGATCTGCCCTAGGATTTTTCTCAGACTCTAGAATACACTATTCAGCATGGTATTTTCAGCCCTGAGAATTTAGGAAGTTACTATGATCATCGACTTTCCACCAGGATCCAGAACACCAGCTTATGTGGTTTGACCACCAGGTGGCAAAAGTTGCCTGACGAAAAAACTATACCAGCTGCTTTCAAGAAAAACAACAGAAGAAAACAAAACAAAGGGGGGAAAAAACCCTCAGGCTTTACTACGCTCCTGGTTTATTCCGATTCCATATTAACTCAAATAGACTTCTCTGTCATGTGTTTGTGTTCCCACAGGATGTACTAATGCCATAACAACTCAGGTTCACTTATTTGGTCTTTTTTATATACATATTTTTTTGTGAACTAGGCTAATAGGGAGGTAAGGTAAGCATATTTATGACAGAGAAATAGGAAATTTACTCTATTGGGATGGAAGAGGAACAACAACAACAACAACAACAACAACAACAAAAACCCCAACAAAATAATGATAAGAACCAGCATGAAGAAGGGACTATGAATACAGCCAAACTACTAGATGTATCACAAGAAGTTTCTGGGACCCAGGAAACTGCAAAACAGCTTGGTGGAAGCACTGTTGGGCAGCCTGCCTGTCCTGACTTCCTATGTGTACGTGGCTGAACAAGTGACTTGACCTCTCTCAAGTCTTGGTCTCCTCATCTACAGAACTAAGGTAACGAATCTTGCTCATAGGCTTGATGATTATGTAGAATATTAACTAATGAATGCAAAAGAGTAGAGAGGCTGGATGGAGCAGGACACTTACTACATTAGTGTAATCTTCCCCTTCTGACCCCCTCGCTTGTCTACTTTACCAATAGGCAGGAGGCTTTTCCCTAACTGTGGTCCACTGATTACTTCCTCTTCTACTTTTTTTTTGTTTTTGAGAGAGAGAGAGAGAGAGAGAGAGAGAGAGAGAGAGAGAGAGAGAGAGAGAGAGAGAGAGARWGAATTTCAATATTTATTTTTCAGTGTACACAACATCTTTGTTTGTATGTGGTGCTGAGGATGGAACCCAGGCCGCGAGCGCACTACCGCTTGAGCCACATCCCCAGCCCCTCCTCTTCTACTTTCACTGAGATAAGACAGTGGGAAGATAATGATCATTAGTCAGTATTGAGTTAATACCTATTCTCTGTGGCACCTACCACCTATTTTTCTAAGTGTTCTTTAAAATGATGAAATGTAACACACACTGAAAATTGGGTAAGACATAAACATTTGATACAATGAACACTTACAAAGAAAAGTCCCAGCACTTCAAACATCTGATATGTATTCTTTAACAACCACCACCTCCTTAATAAGCTTCCACAGTAATTCTATTTTTTTTAACAGATTGTTTTGTGTCTTCTACATACACAGTATTTATAAATAATGACCATTTGGGGTTTTTTTCCTCTTGAAACTCGACACTCGTGTTTCCTTTTCTTGCCTGAGTGAGTGGGTAAGGATTTCCAATCAGTATTGAATAAAAGTGTTTATGGTGGACATCCTCCTGATCGCAAAGGAGAGTCGTTTGACTTTTCATCTGGATATATAATGTTTATTGTCATCATTTTAAAAAATCACCCTTGTAAGACTGAGGAATTTTATTTTTATTGCTAGTTTGCTAAGGTTTTCTTTYCCCCCATAAATTGCTATGGACATTTTCTGCATCTATGGAACTAATTATATCATTTTTTTTTTGCTAATGTGTCACCTGATAAACTACATAGATTTTACAATRTGCATATTTGCCTTCTATTCCTGTTATAAATATAACTTGTTTGTGAGGTATTATTATTATTGAGCATATTGCTGGGTCAGTTTTCCTATATTTTATTTTGGATTTTTGCATCTTCATTCCTGAATGAGCTTGTTCTATAATTTCATTTGTTGCACTATCCTTGTGAATTTTATTACAAAATTTATGCTAACTTCATAAAATGACTATGAAAGGATACTATTTTTTTTTTGTTTTCTGAAATGATTTTCATTAAGAAAATTAGAATTATTTCTTTCTGAGAGTTTGGAATCACTTGTCAATGAGATCATTTAGACTTGGTGTATCCTCTTTGGGATGACTTTCAAATGATTAAATCATTTATTTAATTGATTCTAAGACTGTTCAGGTTTTCTATTTCTTATTGGGTCATTGTTGGTAAGTTATAGATTTCCTGTAAYTTTTCCATTTCATTTTCAAATTTAGTGGGATAAAGGTGTTTATATCCTCTTTATATCTTTTTTAATTTCTATAGGATCTGGGGGAATCCATTTCTTTAGTTCTGATATGACTTTTACTTCTAATATAACTTTATTTCTGATAGGGTTATTTGTGTCTTCTCTTTTTTGTGATCAGCCTTTTATAAAATAATTATTAATTTTATTAGTCTTTTCAAATCACCAAACTTTCTGTGTATTTTTCTGTTCTTCCTTATTTCATCTATGTTTGCTGTTTCATTGATTCACTCTTATTTTTATTGTTTTATTTTTTCTGCTTTATTTGTATTTATTTTGCTCATCCTTATCTAACTTGAGTGTGATGTTTAGATAGTTGATCTTTAGACTTCTTATAAAATATATTTGTTTAATGTTGTAAACTTCTCTTGGAGTTTTCTTGCTTTAGCTGCACTCTGTGTGCTTTGATGTTCAATGTTTTCATTATCATTTAGTTTGAAATATTTCCTAATTTCCATTGTCACTTTTTCTTTGACCCAGGTGTTACATACAAGTGTATTTCTTAGTTTTGAGACATTTGGTGATTGTCTTATTATCTTTTTATAATCGATGCCCTCCATAATTTCACTCTATTATGAGAACATATTCTATATGATTTGTGTCCTTGAAAATGTATTGAGATTTGCTTTATAGCTGAGTATATAGTTAATTAAAAAAACGCATACTATGACCTCTAAGRAGCTATGGTATTATGAAGGTCTTAGTGTAGGTATATAAGTAATTGTAATAAGAAGTAAGAAATGACAACTAATGCCATAAAGGTAGAGCCTATGAATTATGAGCATGGGAATAGTCAGAGAAGAATTTCCACATGGGCATACCTAGCAAAGACACTTTGAAACTAATCATAATAAAAAAAAAAAGTCAGAACTCTTGGTGGAGAGTATTGTGGGTGAAGAGGCATTGAGATTGGAAASAGCAGACATCATAAAGGAAATAGGGCCTAGTTCTGTTTGGTAAGGGCACAGAATGAATGAGTGAACCAAAGGGCAATAGTGGAAAGATGTTTGGGGGAAAGTAATTTAGTATTGTTGGAGAAACATGTAGAAAGGTTTGAGTTTTATTTTGAAAGTAGTAAAGAGACGTTGAAGGTTGTAAGCAGGGAAATAAGAGCTATGTTTTAGGTAGATTAATCTGACAGCTGGGTGTAAGGTAGCTCAGTACAAATCTAGCCTGATATTCTTCTACATTTCTAGACCTCCCAGGATGCGCTATTTATAATGATCCAGAACCTGAGCAAAAAGAGGGAGAGGAAGMGAGGTGATAACTCGAAGAGCATTAAATTTTGTACCAAACTCTCTTCTAAGCATTTCATTATGTTATTATAATTTTAAAAATTAGCATACAATCACAGTAACCCTGTGAAACACCAATGATGAAAATTTCAATTATGTCCATTGCACTGAATTTACTAAAGGAAGAGAAGGCTAAGAGGCATTAAGATGTTCAAAAAGCAAAGGTYGAACTTACTGAATAATAACAATAAGTAACCTAATAACTTAAATACTTTGCCAACTGAAATGAACAGACATTTAAATTGAAGCAATATATCTCGAAACTTCTTTTCTTGGTCATGTATTTTATGAGAGGGGCTACACACACGTTTTTTACTTACCCAAGGACTCTGCTTGGGGCTTCTCTGACAGCTCTCTATTATAATCAAGGTCTGAGTACTTCATTGTGTTGGTGTCAGAATGTTGACTACGGTATGAGAATTCACTGCTCTGATCACCTTGCACAGATGTTGACCAATTCTGATCCTCATATATTTTTTTGTCTTTGATTTCAGCAGCTAGCCAGTGTGAAGAGCATTTGTTAGATACAATACTAGAAAAAAAAGACTGACAAGCATAAAATGCAAGAATGCTTTTCATTCTTTCCAGGCAATGTACCTGTTTCCTGTTGGGCGTCTTGGGCATTCATTTTCAGGATATGTTGCTGCCTTATCTGCTTAGCAAATCTGGCAGGGTTGTCCCATGGTATGTTGAACTTCTCAACATCTGTCCCACACGCCATCCCAGAAGGCTTCAGTTTCCCTGCTTCGTCAACCTCAGAGAGCTTCAGGCTCTCAAAAGTAAACACCTTGAAGGCTCGTTCTACTTCGCTCCAGCTCAAGACTTCTGTAAGAAAGCAGGACCCGTGCTTCTAGGAGTGCCCTTTATGGTACATAGTACAGCGTGGGCAGAGAGACACAAATATACACCGGGCTGATAAGGGAGCCATGCCACGATGGGCACTGACCTAACTTAAAACTGGGCTCCACAAATCTGCATCAAGTATCAAAGGTGCCTAGTGATAAGAAAACTGAACAGTCAAGGTCTAATTAATCAAGGTCATACTACCAAAATGCTTCTTTAGGTGGTTCATAGTGTGTGGACTTTTTAGGGTACCATATTGGTTGAATGGGTTTACAACTCATTTATTTATTTATTTATTTTTTGCAAAAGTACCCTTTGATGCTGTTGTAATTTAAGCCATAGAAATCATTCACTCATGTCTAATATAGGCTATTACAGTCAGTAAGATTTCTTGTTATTTTAGATTCTGGGAGGGTCTCCTCCCACCCACATGAATAGCTACTTTCCATAATTGCCCTTCAAAGTTTATCAACTTTCAAYTGGCGTTAGTCATTGTGTATTTATTCCTTTATGGCACGTGTTCATCCGTTTTCTCAACTGGTTATTGTATACTGGGGAGCCTTGCCATAGGTGCCTAAGATTCACAGAAGAACATGATTTTGTTCTCTCACTTTAAAAGTTCAAGACAGAAGGCTGAGAGGAAGGAATTAAGAATGGACAGAATTCCGTGAGGAAAAATTCAAGATTATGGTAGATAAGTGTTTCAGAGGTTGCCTTCATTTTCTTCCCAACAGAAATGAAGACAGGGGCAGGGGTCCTTTTAAAAAATATGGCATGCATGGGGTGGGCTGGCAGTTTAAAGAGAGGCAAAAGAGTTACTGAATAAAGGAGAATTTGCTCATTCATTATTTCATAAATATTTTTGAGCACCTTCCAGGCGTCAGTAACTAATAAAAGCTGGTGAACAAAGGTGATGAACTCAAATACTATAGTAAATCTCACCAGGATGCATAACCACAGGCACTAATTAAAAAAAAATAACCTATAAGTAAATAGAAAGATTAGTACAGTAAGGGAAGGGAGGAAGGGAGGAAGAAGGCTAGGAAAAGGGGACTGGACTAGAGCAAAATTTTATTTCATGCTTTTGTAATGATGTCAAAATGAATCCCGATGTTACATGTAACTAAAAATGACCAATGGGGAAAAAAAAAAGGAGGTGGTAGGCAGTTCAGATTTTACTCTTGAGGATACAGAGGCAAAAAAATCTTAGCGGGGGAGGGGATGCACAAGAAAATTGATGAAAATTGAATCACAATGATGAGAGAGAGATTTCCTTTCAAAAAAGCCTCTCCTACTTCCTGTGTTCTCCCTCTCTGACATCAATCACCTTTTAACCTTTCAACTAGTGAAGAAGCAGCCAGTTTCTGATGGAGTACTGTGCTCCTATCATGTGGCCAGCTAGTCATGTGATTAAATGAAGAGATAAATGGGGATGCAAACTTCAACACTAGCAATCAAACGGAGGGGGCATAGTTTCCACTTAAGAGGTGGGGACCCAACTGAAGTGCTGTTTCTTCCTCTTTGCTCTTCAWGTCTTCATGTCAAGGCATGGTTATAGTCTCACTGTGAATTTTCTAATCTACTACATAGGATCATTCAGTGGTTACCTTTTGCACTGGAATACACTGCTTTCATATTTTAATCTTAGTATATATATATATATATATAATCAAAATATATATAATCTAATGCTACACACACACTTATATAGTCTAATGTTACGTCTGATCTATTGATTAGACTAGATATAAGGAGTTTCTTGATGACATAAAAWTATAAACTTCAAGTTTCCTTTGAGTACAAAAATTTTTCATTAATTGTGGGTGGCTGCAACCAGAGAATATGAGAATTCAAAGATGGATAACTCTGTATTGGGGCAAAGTTGCATGGTCAGGCTCGCCCTGCCCACTTCCCAATCACTACAATGCTATTGTAATCTTTTTGTGGTTTGCAATGATGATAAAGGGGTGCCATATTGAGACAGTGAAGGCAAGGATGGCATTCTCCTAGGACAGGAATGTGGTTATCTTACGATGGGAGGTTTTTGTTTATTTTAAAAATTTCAAAAATATTTGAACTGTCACTTAAGTAGGATGGGATTACTACATCATCTCAATGACGTCAAGAGGGAGATGGGGGAAGGAGTCAGGGAAGAGGAAGGAAAGATGTGAATCACTCTGGTTAAGGAAACACAGTGGAAAGAAAACTTGGTGCATCAAATTGCAGAATGTTTTGCACCATGGCTGTGTTACCATTGCTACTGAGGATATTCAAAGTRAAAAAGTTGTAGTCCATCAAAATATTCATCTTAGCCCCTGAAAGATCTTTAAATGATCAAAACACATTTTGCAAATAAGGATGTAATTTGTAGAGGCACAAAGGACCACTAATTAAGATGAAGTTAAGAAGAAACAATGTACTCACCACTTGTGCAGAAGTGCATAAGTTCATGGATGGTAGCTAGGCGTTTAGTGYTGTTCCAGGGTGGAGGCAGAGGGAACTGAAGGAATTCCCACAGTGGCAACTTGGATTGCATCTCCTCCTCAATTTGAACTGGGTCAATACCCTTTTGGTCCTGCCAAAAAAAAAAAAAAAAAACAAACATGACAGAAGGCATTAAAATAAGCCATCAAGTGCCTTATGCATATGGAGAAGGCTAAACATGATACCTTCACTCTCGTTTATTTGGGAACAAGGGAAATCAGTGGTAATTGGGGAAGACAAACTTGGTATTTTGCTGAAGGTCACAAAAACTAGTTCTCAYTTTGCCAGAAGTTCCTGGTACACAGAAATGACTGATCTTCATTTGCAGTGACAAACTGCCCAAGCCTCATATATATTCAACTCTCTCTTCTGAGATCCTTTTCTGGCTTCCACTGTTTTTCATACCAGCAGATATTTAAAGAAAATAACTATGAGGTTTTAATGCAATTTCGGTGGTAGTCATAATCAATTCAACAGTTAATTGTATTAATCTTTCTTTGATGATCTCTCCCTTCCCCATCTTTCTTTTCTGACATTCATACCTCGCCTGTTACCTAGCTTTGATGAAATTATCTCATTGATCCCTTCAGCTGGTGAATTTCAGGTGTACTTTTCAATCACCCTCTGGGCCACCTGATCCTTACCTTCAGTGCATATTTCCGGTGAGCGTAAGCATCGTGATAGTTCAGTAGGAGAGGGCCTTTGGGCACTGCTTTGGTTTCTCTTTCTTCTTCAGATAAGAATATTTCGTGGAGATTCTATTTAAATTGAAATATATACTCATTTAAGGAGAGACTATTTACTTTCCCAACATGTAAAAACTCGTTGGCTAACTCATGCCGCCTGACCTTTTTCTCCCTCTCGGAGAGGCAGAGAGAGGGCAGCATAGACACGATGTGAGCTGCGATCCGGTTGTCTAACCCATCTGCTCTGGGGGGTGGCCTCACCAGACTGGGAGGGACAAGATCCTTTTCAGTTGCCACGACCTATAGAAAAGAACCATTGGGAGGGATTGGCTGGACGGTCAACTCTTTACTGATACTCCTGAATTTCCATTGCTCTTCGTAAGAGGAGGACTGTTCCTCACACTAAAGCCCTAGTGACAACAGCAGGGAAGTCTCAGCGATTAACGCAGTAAAAGGAAAAATGTTTACAGTCTATGCATTTAAGTCGACATGATTTTAATACTTGCATTAAAATAGATGACACAAAACACAAATGGTAAACACTAAACTTCAGCAGGAGTCAAAATAATGACAAAAATATTCATTCTTTCTCTTAAAGCACTGAAAACAGGACTAGTGCAACTTTGGATTTAATATTTAAATCCAAACTAACTGCCTACCACATACTGCATAGGGCATCTTCATATCCATTAATTCACTTAACCCTCATAGCAATCTTGGTTAGATATTATTTTCTATTTTATAGAGAACAAAAGTAGGGAGAGTGAAGTTAGATGACTGGTCCAAGTCTAGGGCTACTGAATAGAGGAATTGGGGTTCAGGCCAAGTCCTCATTTTTTCTTCAAGAATAGAAAAGTGTAAGAAGATGAGATCAGTAATGGATATTAGTCTCCTTTAGGTGGGGAGAGTGAGGTCTAGACAGATTAAATGCCTTGTTCAATTTTACATGGAAATCAGGTAAGAGGTTGAAATGTACTCAAGATAGGTACCTAATGTATAGTCTCTTCACTATAATAATAAAAATAATAATAAAATTATTCTCATGATTTTACACCCCTACTAAGATTTCTCACTCAACCTTGGCAGTAGTGATATTTTGGACTAGATAATTATTATGGGGGCTGTCATGTGCCCTATAGAATGTGCAGCAGCATGGCTGGCCTCTACCCCTCTKAATCTCCAGACATTTCCAAATGTCCTGTGGGAGGCAAAATTACTCCCTACTGAGTTTTGTTAGCCTACTCTAGGTTAATAAAATAGTCTTGTTATTCTATTTTATTTTTATTTTTAATACTAGAGATTGAACTCAGGAGCACTTAACCACTGAACCACATCCCAAGTTTTTTTTTTTTTTTTTGACAAGGTCTCAGTAAGTTGAATAGGGCCTTTCTTGCTAAGTAACTGAAACTGACCTTGAACTTGTGATCCTTCTGCCTCAAACTCCCCAGTTGCTGGGATTATAGGCATGTGCCATTGCACCTGGTTCAGTATTCTTTACTAATTATAAACACTTTACTTTCAAGAATCACTATTTCCAGTCTCTATCTTCCACCTATCTTGTGGTCAAAAGACCAATCAGAACTGTTCCGCKTTTAAAATGGTAAAATCTAATGTCTGCTCCTGTAAAGTGCCAATCTCGACGCTCTTATACTTCAACTTTTTCATTCTCTATTAAGAAGGCTTTACTCATTCGACACGTACCTAGTGCCTACTGGCAGCCTTCCATGTGTTAGTCACTGAGCTCATTATCTTTCCTCTGTGTTATAGGGAACATAGTAATATTGAATACAACAACAATGACTGTGGTGGGGCTGGGGTTGTGGCTCAGTGGTAGAGCGCTTGCCTAGCAAGTGCAAGGTGTTGGGTTCAGTCCTCAGCACCACTAAAAATAAAYAAGTAAAATAAAGGTAAAATAAAAAAAAAGCTTTCAAAATATTTTTTTTAAAAGAAAAGAATGACTATGGTAAATGAAACGATGATACTGTGAGCTCTTCAGAGTTTTTTTAAATAAATTTATTGACATAATAAAACTGTAGTCTTACAAAAAACATTATGGGGTGATAAAGGCAAATATTAGTGTGATTGATTAGAAAAGTAAGGTAGTCAATAAACAGAAAACTGTATAGTAGAGGTGACAACAGTGACAGGGTCTGAAAAGACTTTAAAATAAACATTGAACTAAGAACAAGCCTGGAAAACTGTGCAAAAAATTAGAGAATTTACAAGTTAGAAATCTTATTCCTCAAACAAAACTTCAATAGCAGACCCGAAATTAAGGTAGGAAATAAGTAGGAAGTTAAGGTAGATTTCCAAAAGGATAAATTGAAAGAAAATTTAATGAGAATAATTCTAATATTCCAACATCTATCCAGTTATAATTAGGGTAAGTAGGAGAAACAATATTTGAAGGTATAATTGAAGGTCTATTTTCAGCATCCACTCACTAATTCAACAACACGTACTCAATGCCAACTAGGAATTAAGTGTGGTTATTGTGTGCTGGGCACACAGCAATGACTGAGACCACACTAGGCTCCTGCTGACATAGAGTGTGCATTCTATTGGGAGGAAAGAGGCAAGAAACAGGTTAATAAAAGGCTACTAAATACATTTTAATTACAATAGTTTAAATAAAACAAAGTACTGCGATGGAGAGTGCTGTGTGTGTGTGTGTGTGTGTGTGTATGGTGGAACTTCTTTAAATCAGGTGCTCCAGTGTCACTTCCACCAGACAAAGAAGTTTAAAAGGTTAAGGAAAAATTAATATATCTGAGGAAATCCCCAAAGACCTACATTGATGAAAAATTGTGTGTGTGCGCGCCATGTATGTTCGTGTATGTGGCATGCATGTGTTTGTGTGTCAGAGAAAGAGACATGGAGCAGGAGATGAGAAGAAGCTACAATGCAGAAACTAATTTTAAGGCCTTTATAGGATACTATAAGAAATTGAATTTCACTTAGATGTGATTAAAAAACAATTTATAATTCCTTTAGATCATGTTGACAGGATGAAAAAACAAACAAAACCATAGTTTTTACTATTATTTGGATGTGGTTTGTCCAAATGTGTGTGTGTTACAGGCTTGGTTCTCAAGGTAGTGGGACCTTTAACAGGCGGAGCCTATTGGGCGGACCCTGGACATACTCACTTTGGAAGGGACTGAAAGGTAGTTCTCATGGGAACCTGAGTCCCTTCTCTTTCTTGGCTTCCTGTCTTGCCATGTGATCTCTCCCTTTCACATATGTTGTAGACATGATGCCATCTGCCATGATGAGACCTAGATAAGAGGCCCTCACCAGAGATCAAATCTATGAGGATGTCTGGTCTTGGACATTCAGCCTCCCCAAACTGTGAGCTAAATAAATCTCTTCTCTTTAAAAAGTTATCCACTCTCGGGGATTTTGTTATAGAAACAGAAAACACACTAATACACCTGGACATAGTCTTTTGTTATCAAATATATAGAGCTGCAAAAGAAATAAAGAAGAAAGAAAAGAAAGATTGATTTTGGACATGCACCGGACTTCTCCTCAGCAAATCAGAAGGAAGAAGAAAATGGAGCAATGCCATTAAAACACTTTCCCATGCAGGTTGACTAGGTTCAAAAGTTATTTCTGCCACTTCCTACTCGAACAAGCCACTGAACCTTATTATGGTTCCGTTGTTTTCTGATCTGTAAAATGGGTGATAAAAATAGTTCCTGCATCATAGTATTGTTTTTAAAATTAAATGACTTCATATATTGAAAGCATGTAGAGCAGTGCCTGGTGGATATAAGTGCTATGCATATGTGGCTACTATGAATAACAATGTTTTTCAAATATACATAGAACAGTCTCRAGAATTGACTGTGTGCATCAAGTCACAGAAGTCACGGGGAATTTTAACTTTGTTAACTTTGTTAACTTGCAGAACTTGCAGATCAGGTTCATAGATCATAAAGCAATAAAATTAAAAATCAGTAATAAATTGTAGCCATAAAATTATTCATGGAAAAAATAAGTATATAAAAGATTAAGAACTGAATACATTGAAAATATCAACATGCAGCCAAAGAAATGCTCAAGAGGAAACATAAACCTAAGTAAGGCAAAAAAGACTGAAAATAAATGAAGATTTTAATTAAAACCAAATACAAAATAAGCCCCCAAAAAAGGATAGGGAAGAAAATAATGAAGATAAAGGAAGAAGTTAATAAACTAAAAAGTTAAAAGGAGTTGGCCAAAAATGAAACAAAATGCTCTTTCTTTGGAAAGACCAACCAATACAATAGATAGCAATGATCGGCAACCGTATTAGCCAGCTTTTTGTTTGTGCAACCACAATATCCAACAAAAACAACTTAGAGGAGGAAAAGTTTTGGAGTTTTAGTTCAGGATGGGCCAAGTCCATTTCTCTGGGTCCAAGCAGAGGCTGAACATCATGGGGRATGGGTGTGATGGAAGACCCCCCATGGCAGCCAGGCAATGGAGAGAGGGCAGGGGGAGGGGGCCACAGGGAAGATGCACCTTTCCAGGACACCCCCCCCCCCCCGACACACACACACAGTGAAAGTCACCACCCAGTCAGTCCATTCAAACTAGGATGGACTGAGAAAGCTACAGCTTCCTCATCTAATCATTCCACCTCTGAATATTCCTACATTAGCGCAGGAGGTTTTATGGGACRTCTCAATATCCAAACCATACAGCAACCGAGATCGAGAAAAGAGAGGGTACAAATAAATAACAACATCAGTTATGAGAAGGGAACATCACCAGATGTTATGTTACTAGTGTGGTGGTCTTCACTTTGCAGGGGCAGGCTGGGAACACTGATTTTCCTCATGGTCCTGGCTCATGCCTTAATATGTCTATTTGACCTCCATATCTTTGCCTCTTTCTTGGTAATGTCACTATGTCCCTTTCCCCATCAGGCTTTCCATCGGGCAATTCACTCAGCCTTTAGCACACTACTAACATTACATTAGTATACAGAGGAACCTAAAAACACATGCAAGTGAATAACACATACAGCTTGTACCATATCAAAAATCCAAATTAAATGGACACATTTTGTGAAAAACACTAGTGACTAATATTATCATTAAGAGTAGAAATATCTAATTAAATCTATAGGTTCAAAATAACATTTAAAGGTAGCTGAAGACCACTACTACCCACCCCATCTATCCTTGTCCTCTTCTTCCATTAAAACAGTACTAGCAAAAGAGAGTTTTAAGGATATGTTCTCTCAAAACTTAGAGGAGTATTAAGTGGACTTCCAGAGCATAGCAAAAGACAGAGGATTAAAGCTGCTGATGAAAGCCAACTTTGGTTTTATGAAAAATATTTTAATCTTTGTAACTGAGAATACATTCAGGTATCATGAGTATAATTTAAAAATAGTGTTAAAAGTGGAAATAAAGAGAGATGAAGGGACTCACTCAAGGTTACCCTCTGGAAAAAGTCCACCCACCTGTTCTAGAATACAATGCAGTATCAGGGGTACAGACATGAATTCCTCTGGGATCGGATTCAGCAAATCATTGTAATATCTCATGTCTACTTCAGTTGTGGTGACGAAAGTTGCTGTAAAATACACAAAACTTTATTGCCCCATTAAGATGTGCTTTCCATTTCGTCCATTAAAATTTCACACATCAATTCAAGCAATGACCTTGTACTAATAACATAGGGACTGTCCGTGGAAAGGGAGCTGAAGACATTATGGAAGATAGTCATTACTCTTTAAAGTGCCCTCTCATGATGTTGATCCTCCAGCAACAGATTTCATACRTGCCTGGTGGTGGAGCGGGTGGTTCTTCACTTTGCGCTTTCTTCTTTCCAGGGGTAGAGTGTGGAGTCTGTGCGGAAAATAATGAAAAAGACACACTGAGATATCCAGCTGAGAGGTGCTTTCATTGAATGCTGCTATGATATCAATAGGATTCTGAGATAAAATCATCTAATAKGATAGAAGGAAAAGGACTTGTCTGAAGAAGGAAAGAAGGAGTGGAATGGGTGTGGATCCTCGTCAGTTTTTCCTAACAGCCCACTGAGCAACTTCAGGGAAGGTGATAGGCTGATGGTGCACGGAGAGTACAGAATATTTTCTCCCCTGGGTGACATGGAGTCACGCCGTCCTCTCCCTTCCAATCAATCCTCCAGTGCTTCTCCACTGCCTTCAGGATAAAACCTAACCAAACTCATTATTAATTCAGYACTAAAGGACTTTCCTGATCTGCCTCCCACCTCTGCAGCTTTAGTATACTGTTGGTCTCCCTGTTGCACAGGCAGCCTGGAAATACTGAACTTCCTGTGGCCTGGGCTCCTGAAGTTTTACTTTGTTCCTGTGACTTTGTACCTTGTACCTCTTTGTCTCTTTCTTGAGAATGTCATGTGTACCTTTCCRTCACCAGGCAATTTGCTCAGCTCAGAATTCACATAACCAACCCTCCTCTCCCCCCTACTCCTCGTCACACCAGGGGAGATGCCATTTCTCTTTGCTTCTGCTGTGGYCTGAGTTGACAGCTGCTGGCATTCATCATGCCATGTTGCAATGGCAGTGGCCTCTGACTTCCATGAGAACAGGGAGTGAGTCTTCACTGTTGCGTTGCCAACACCTTTCACCGTGTTAGCACAGGCACTAAATAAGTGTTGTGATTACTTTTTCAATATCCCTTCTTGCTCTACATGTTGATCATCACTCCACGTGTTGACCAGTGGGTTCCATCCACATTTTTGTGAGGGTCAGAGACCCCACCACTCAGCTCTTCAACATCGTGCCTAGGGGGCTTTTCCTTGTTCCCAAACTTAAATGTTAAATTCCAACCAGCAAGTATTACCTCGACAYAAGTTTTTATGTCATTTTTCCTTCGGACGCTTGACAAAAGACTTTTGAACCATGCCTACCTCAGAAATCACAGGTTCTAGGAGAGTTTTCTCAGTCACTGCCAGCGGGACATTGATAAGGTTCATGCTTTCCAAGTAGTGCTGGTGTTGCCTCTTCCAGTCCAGGCTGTCATACATCAGGCAGGCAATATTTTCAAAAATTTCGGTGCCCAATTCCATCTACAGGTGAGACGATGAATGACAATTGGCTGTTAGTTTCATACCAGCTACAGGTGAGACGATGAATGACAATTGGTGGTTCGTTTCATACTATTGTAAACAGGTACATGTTTGTGTCCCCCTTGCCAACTAAATATATCAATAATTTATAGAAAAAAAAATCCTTGAATCCCTGAGTCACACTGGATTCCAGGTCTGGTGACCAAATCTGTATCCCTGAACCCTTCTTTTCTTTCTTTCTTTCTTTTTTTTTTTTTTTTTACTAAATAAATACAATCTGGTCAGTAGTTTCTACAGAGTGACTGTTAAGCTTTTGTTATCTCAGTTYCTTAAACATGTTAGTTAATTTGGATATCCTTAGCCAAAGACAAGTGGTAGATGATTTCTTACCTGTCTGTGCAGGTAGCACAATGGAACTGCTTGCTCAGCTTTCTGTGTCATCCACTCCAGGATGCTACAGTGTGTGTGGAAACGATATTTTTTTCTTTCCTCCATGTTTACCTTCTTTCCTTTAACCTGGRCTAACTTTAAGGAAAAGCACTAAAAATCTAAGTAGATTATTGCTTCTACAAGGCCCACAAGTTTTATGGGTCCACAAGCAAGTTATAGGTCAGGTGCTCTTATTACTTGTGCTTTCATTTCCAGGAGTAATTTCCCAGGAGTAGGGAATCTCTGTGATTATTGTGTTTTCTTGGAAGCCAAGAAGGAGTAAATAGGCTCAACCTATTTCTGAGTTGAAGAGGCAAGGTAGAATGAGAGCTTCCTGTGGAGATGGGGAATCATAGTCTGGCAGAAGCCCAGGGAAGTGCACAGCTCTGCCCGTCATAACACACTGATTCATCTGGAATCATGTGCTCATGCTAAGATAGAGATGTTTTTTGATTAAGCTTCAACCTGGCATTCCTTGCCTAAATGCATAGAAATACATTTTTGTTTGTATTTCTAGGAAATGTTGCAATGCATCTGCCCAGTGGTCCCTTAGCTTAACCTAGTTAGTTCATTTTAAAATCAAGCACCAAATGATATGCTAAAGGCCAGCAAATTATTTCAGCAACCAGGGTTTAACTTGAGATATTGCAGATGTTGTACATGAGCAGTTAGCACATCTTGATGGGCATTTATTTGATGTAAACCTTTCGTTACCTTGGCTGAGCAGAAATACAGCCTGCTTGTTTTCAGCCAAGGTTACAAATACTTTCCTCCATCCAGAGAGGAAGAAGGACTCCTTGGCTGGCTCCTATGTTGGCTATGAGGCTGTTATCAACTTATAGATAGATCTGAGAGAGCAACACAATATATGTGGTCTGCTTCTACTAGAAGTAGATTCTTTTTTTTTATAGGTTTATCATGTGGTCCTAAGTTTAAAACAAACTTTTATCTTCACTACTAAGTCCAATGGCCTTCTGAAGTCCAACTTTATTGTTGAGTATTATTCAAGACTCTTCCTTTCCCGTCATCCTGAATAGTGGGCCTTTCSCTCACAAACTATGAAGTACACCTTGACTCTAAAACCTTACTGCAACTGGATCCACACCAAAGCGCTGGCATGAATGTGATACTCAAAATTACTTGCAAATCGACTTATAGCAGTGAGTGTGACCAGCTGGGCAGCACAGCCCTAAAGGGCTTTCTAGAGAGCTCAATATCATTGATGCCAGTTGCCCTCATGGCCCAAATGTACATATGGGACATTAAACTGCTAAATCGAAGTCAGGAATGCTTTGTCATAATTAGTAAGCTGATAATACCTTTTCGACAAAAAATATTTTTTTCCAAATTTTAATTGTCCTTTAAACTCTTCTCTATAATTGGTAAAAAAAGAAAATACAGCCACTATCACATTCTTTAAAATTAAATGGTTAAACTTCTTAATGAATAGAAAGTTGTGAACACTTGGGAGTAGGAGGCAGAATTTCAGGAAGGGTGCTGGGCCTTTGGCAGTTGTGTTTATATGTCACTGTATTCATATCCATGTCCCTGTGATGCAATGGAATGCACTCTCTTTTGAGTTCAATATATTTCAGCTTTTCTCAGTCTGTGCCTGGGTAGTAAAAAAAGATTCACAGAAGAGAGCTCTCCCTAGTGAAGGAACAAAAGGTRCTTGATTGGAGGCTGCCTTAGCATCAATTCCCCAGTTCTTGGTGGGGCAGATGACAGTAGGTCCTTTTCTGAGGTCAACATTGGGAAGCAGAGAGTAAAAGGGAAGGCAGGAAGACTCTCCACCTCTAGATGAAGGGGCAGAAAGGAGCAAAGGCAAAGTCCAGAGTAACCAGTTTTCCTAAAACTGACTCTGTCACCAGCTACAGCTTTTCTACATCCAGCTTCATTTTGCACCTATAGCCCAAGGCTAATGTTTACTCTGGCTGTTGACAAGTGACTCAAGGGTTCTGTTTCTGCATAGTGACATCTAATGCTATATGTTGAGAGTCTTTGCAAGTCAAACACAGTTAACCAAGGCTTCTTACTCAAGTCAGAAGCTCCTATTCCCTAGCCTATCGTCACTGCTCTTTGGCTCAGTTACAGGTTTTGATCTCATTCCCCTCCTAGATAGTGAGTTTTGTGTTCCCTGTTTTCAGTCACTGTAGTAGACACCCATCTACCATCTCTACCCACTTTGCCCTGTTCCTTTCAGAGCACTGGCTGCATGTGGTCCCTCCCTAACATTCTGCTTCAGTTCCACTCCTTTGATGCTGAAATATATAGCCTGTTTGTTGGGAYTGGGGGTCGAGCAGAAAGTGGCAGGAGAAGTTTTCTGCTTCTATCTTTGTTTTAATAATGGAGGGATGCCTGAACACCTTCCATAGCATCCTTGAAAAGTAGTTACTTGAACTTGTTAAAGGGGAAAAAAAAAAAAAAAAACCTCTCATGCATTTGGGATTTGCTACATTTCCAAGTATCTGATTTTTCCCTTTTCGGAATTGACAGAAAACTAGAGTGTGCTTCATATAACTCATGGATCTATGACTAGATCTATGACTCCTGGATCACTGCTTCTCTGGTTCAAGATTTTAGTTTTGCCTCCCTGCAAGTTCCTCAATAGCAGGGGTCAATAGATGTCCTCAGAAAATTTTGCCTGTTAATTGTTGGGCCAGAGGTCAAGTCATCCTATTAGGAAAGAGCTTACTGGTCAAATAAGGTAAAAATATAATTTTGGCRATAAAAGCAAGGGTTTAGAAAAACAATGTTTGAACTAATATATCTGTGATATATGAGAGAGGTAATAAATTAACTATACAATTTACTCCTTTCACAATCAATATATATTAACATTTTAATTACTGCCTAGAACATTATTGAGATATGAAACAAAGCCATGTACCACTAAATAAAAGAAACACCAATATTTATCTTCATATGCTACATCTTATTCTTTATCACTAGTTTATATGCTAAAAGCTACGGAATCAGATTATAATTGCAACTGGGCATTCAGTGTTATCCTTGTCCTGAAAATGAAGGAGCCTATCACAACATGTTGCATTGGTGCTCAGTAAATATCAACAGAATGAGTGAATGGGGCAAATGGACCAGGGTCACATACCAAACCCACACACCCTCACTGACAAGTGTACTAACCATCATCTTGTTGTCTGACCAGTCAGAAGGAAAATTGGCTTCTTTGACCATGTATTCAAGTCGGGCAACATCAAAGAGATTTGTTTCAGGTTTCTCGTTATTCAGGATTGGTTCCAAGTACTTCCAAAAAATTTTGAGTTCTTTTGTGGTGTTTTCTTTCTTCATATTTTCAGCTTCTTTATCTAATAATAGCAACATGTTTTACTACAAAACGAGAGTACTGAATTTCTTCCCACTTTAACTGGAAGTTATGGGCATTAACTGGAGTTATGGGCATTAACTGGAGTTATGGGCATTGCAAGATATCTACACTATATCAAGAAAAAGAAAAAATGTAATTTGGGGAAGTTTTTGAAACCGGACGATATAATTATGAAATCAGAATATTTTGAGGTTGATATTAAAGTGAACTTATTCACCTTGATTTTATAGTTGAGGCCCAGAAAGATTACGATGAGGACACACATTTTGGAAGCTAAATATGCTCAGTATTCTTATCACTTTGAGATTGCATCTCTACAGGACCAGTTTTTCTGGCAAATCACTTTTTGACCATATTTGGGTCTGCTATGTAACTGTTAAAAACATAGTTGATTCACTTCTCCTTCTCACATGGCTAAACAAACTGGATGAGTGATTTGTGCTTTAAGTTAACTTTTTGTTCACATTAAAACAGCTACAGACTCTTCTTCAGGCATTTGTACCCTGACTGGAACATAATGACAGATTGTGATAAAGTTCTACAGGGAACATTTGTCTAAAACATTTACTCTTGTTCTATCTGTAATTGAATAGTAGGTTTCTACCACTGAGGACTCATTATTCCATTATAAAGTCTATTTTTATGTTAATTTATTTTTATTCATTAAACATTTATGGAAAGACTATATTTGGTACTTATGCGGCAGTTTTTTCACCAGCTTCACTGAGAAATTATTTAATGTAACTAGCCTTTGAGATAGTCAGCAGTAACCTGGGATTGAATCTCAATTCTTTTATTTAATAGCTACCTCTAGTCTGAGAGTCCTTTTTGGTGAGATGGAAATAATAAAACGTACTTCCTCAGGATGTTGAGCAAGTGCATGAATCAATGCACTTAATAAAGACGTTAGCGCTAAGCCTTGTCCTAAGACCTGTGCCCAGTAATGATAGCTATTATAATCAGGGGTAGTGATTTCTAACGTTGAAAAGCAATTGAAAAAAAAMCCATAGTGTTACAGAAATTGGTATGTGGCTGTATAAGTTAGAAAGCTCTGTGCAAATATTATTAATAAACAGCAGTGAAAGCAACACATATGGCAGAAAGAGCTGGGATTTTTGGAAACACAGGCTTGCACTGAATCCCCACTCTGTCTTTGAAAGTACACAGTAGCTTTCTGTTTCTTTCCCACAGAGGTGGTCTAGCACAATTCCCTGAGTTGAAGACCCAAAGGCTCAAAATGACTGAATGGCAATATGGTTGGGATCTTACCCCATAAGTTTGAATTCTCAGGGCAGGATGGTAAAGTGCCCCCTCTGACTTATCGCAATAAACCAGTAGCAGAGTAGGGCAAGAATCCAAGGCTGGGACCTCACTTGGGTCWTTTGGTGACTTGTGGTTTTTACAAGAACATTATCAACAGCAATCCACTCAGAGTATACTTTGGGTAAAAGTTAGAGATCAAAAGTTCCTGAGAACTATAGTTGCATAACCAAATTTTCTGACTTGCAGTCTGGGGTTTTTTTTTTTTTTTTTGGTGTGGCTACAAAGGGGAATAAACACAGGGTATGATTTTAATTTGCAAAATTTACGACTCTTGGCTGATACATGCAGAATCAATAGCAAATCAAAGCCTTGAAAAGATTTAATAATGTATGTATTATAGGACTATGCTTTGGACAGCAGATTGCATTTGTACTTTAAGGACAGCGGGTAATGTCGAAAGGCTCAGTAAGTTGTGTAGCAGACTGCATACCTTCTGGCTGAAGAAAAACTTCCTGCTGCTGGCTAACTGTTGCCAGGTGTGTCTGCAGAGGTTCATAATTCTCTGAAGATATTTTAATCACGCTGGTTATGGGAATGCCAAGCTCAGTCATAATGGCTAATAGCTGAGGATTGTTGAAGCCAACAACAATAATGTAATGTTGGGCACCATCATCTGGCTCATCGTCTGTTCAAAATACCATAAAGAAGAGCAGCCATCATTGTAAAAGAGAACAGGTTGTGCTCAGCCAGTTCAATGGCTATATATATTATGCATGCATTTATAATCCCTCCCGCTTGCCAAAAAAATGGTCTTGTTGGCTGGAATGCAGTAGTGTTGACTGTTTTTCATTACTGCCTTTCCAGTAAGAAGATTGTGGCCATTTTACAAAATATTAAATCACTTTTTCAAATGAGACATAGGTGTAATAGGAGGACAAACATACGTGAGGTCTGTGGTCATGAAAAACGTGTGCTTGGGTTTTGTCAGAGTTTAGCCTCTAGTAACTTCTTTTTTTTTTTTTTGGTTCTAATCTCTTTGGAGCAACATCTGGCTTTACTCCTGAATTACAAGTAGCTGCAGTTTTGTGGTATTTTATAGGTAGAGGTGTTTACAGGAGAGGGAAATATTGAATATAGACGTGTTTGCTACCAAAGTTATGTCAGTGATTGTGAATTCTGAGGATTGGTTGTGTAGCAACWATACATTCATCACATTAAATTTTTTAAAAATACACATTTTCTCTATTTTTTCCTAGATATAAGATTCATATTAACAAATGAGCTTATCTGAGAATGTGATATTCTGGGGGGTGAGAATCATTGTCATACTTTAATACTGATAATGCACGGCACATAAAAACATTACATTCTACAAGAGCCCATTAAGACCAGTTTATGAATAGTACAACAGATGCACAACTTTCCATTTTTTTATGTAATGATTGTTCTTCTGTCACTCAACAAGTCAGTGCTGATTTTGCCCATGAACTCTGTATCATTGCTTCTTGGTCTAGGGTACGTAGAAGAGAGCCACGGGAGAGAACTGATAATGGATATGAAAGTTTACTGCCCCCTCCTTTAAATATGATGCAGACTTAAAACTGTTCAAAAATAAATCTATTAATTAAAATAGGTAGATAAATAAATAAAATGCAGATAATAACAAGTAGCTCCCTTTGGGTTCAGGGGAGGCAGCAATGAATCACTAATACCTGCTCAGGATAAACCATTTTTATGTTGATAATTTAAGATTAAAGAAAATTCTAGATGCTTTAATTAGGAAAAAGTGATAATGGGAGAAGTTGGAGTCAGGAAGTTCAAATTAAGTGGCCTGATTTCATTTCCACTGTGTTTCACCCTCCACAACACTCACTTTTCACTTTGTTTTACTTTCCTTTATGTTCCCAAGAAGATCATCTGCTCCTTGGTGGCACAATCAGCTCACTATCTCACTCCTCATCTGTGCTATATAAATGTGCCCAGTGAGACCCATGCTACATAATATATTTGCTAAAAACATACATGAATTGCAAATAGAAAAAAACTTTCCTCTTAGAGTGTCATGGAAAGTTAAGTGATTTATGGTTTTATCAAGAATGAAAAGGCTGGAAAAGATTGAGCATAATTATCCGAATGATTTCTCAAGTATGTCACACGTGGTGAAACAAGAATCAAAAGGCAAAAGGCAACCAATGGAAGCAGCGCCTTGCTGACCGATGTATCGGCTGGTTTCGTCCTCTTCACCCCTCCGCTTCAGCTCCGTGGTCTTCTTCACTGTCGTGTTGACCTCGGGCTGATCCTTGCCCTTTCCTTTAGCAACTTTGGCATTTGGGGGCTTCTTCTCCTTGGGAGATTTGGCTTTCCCTTTGTCCTTTTCGATCTTAACTTTGTCATCTGTTACCTGAAAAGAGAGAATACTTTTTTTTTCTTTTAACTCCAAATCACACAGTGAGCAAGCGATTCAATATCAGGTGAATTAATCCTTTATTTCAATCCATCATTATTTACTCATTTTTTTTTCTCTCTCTCTCTCTTTTTTTTTTTTTTTCATTCTTCAAGCCAGGATAGTGGGGATTCCAGTTTGAACCTAGGGTGTGATGAGGCACATCTATGCATGAAGGACTGGAGGGATGGGTGCCAGGGAGTTGCTCAAAGAGCCTGGAGGGAGACAGTTCATCCTACCAGAGACTGTGGCCTAAGAAGCCACTTCAGATGTTTGGAGGCAGAACCAGGAGGATGGCACTGAGTATGTTGTGGTGTGAGGAATTTAGGTTCATCTTCTAGCCCAACCCTGGGGAGCTCCTGCCTGAGTTTCAGAGAGAATTGAGTTTGGTCATAAAATACAAACACAATAAAAACTAAAAATACAACAGGGAAACAGAAAGAGTAGAAGAGTAGTTACTTTTTTTTTCCCTAAAATCTCCTTGACAATGTTTTTCATAGTTTAAGTAACGTATTGCCCGTTTTTAAAGGCGAAAAGATTCTTTTGGGAACCTAGCACTAACAGATTGTTTTTATTATAATCCTACTTAAACATACAGACATAACTTAATGGCTCCTTTTTGATACATTCAAAGATGGGATCAGCACAAAACATCAGTTGGTTATTTGGAATGTTCTTAGATCATGTACCATGTGAAGACCCAATGTTCCCACCATTTTTCTTTTCTTTTCAAACAATTGCCAAAAAATTTATGCAGTATTGAATGATATAATTATGCTTCCAATGCACAAGTTTATAAATACAATAATAAATAATATTTTATTATCATTAAAATAATAAGGCAGAATAATATCAATAAAATAATAAGGCAGAACCAGATCATAAGATGGCTATTCAGAAGATCTAGAATATGTTTATATTATTATTTTTCCACACTCAACTAAACTGAAAATAAAAATAATTAAAATTATTGTATCAATATCTTGGACTCTGATGTCTGTTTCTCCAAGGTCATGAGAACTAAGTCTGAAAAACTAAAAGACGTGAGAGATGGGGAAAGGAGAAGATGTGACACTTTGGCAACCAGTTAACAGAATGTGACAGAGAAGACAGGGGAGAAGATGTCYTCCTATCCAGGTTGTTTCTGGCTGTCAAGGGTTCCAGAGCACCTGGTTCATCTTTGGTACCAGAAGTGATGTTGGTGGTGCCCATGAGTCTCTGTGTGTGCCTAGCACCTTGGCTCTTGTGGTGGCACAACTCCACTGTTCCCAGCACCTGCTCCTCAGCATCAAGAGGAGGCATCTGAAGAGGCTGCAGGTGTCACTCACAGCTTTGGCTAGGAGCAGGTATAGGCTAGGAAAGGGCCCCCTCATTTCTGGTAAATGAAGAGAAGTTCAATGTGGATCTAATAGTGACTCACAGTAAGGTGTTGGCATGATGGAGGATAGATTTCATATACATTTTGCATGTTGAAAATGCAGGGATTGAAAGATTAGGTAGGAGCATGAGTAAGCTGACACATTAAAGATAATTCCCTGGATTTTAGTTTGAGCTACTAGGTGGTCGATGGTGTCACTTATAGAGATAGAGAAGATTAGGTGAGAAATGGGTTTTAACTGAAAGTGGGAAGACTGTTAAGAGTGATCAAGTTACATAGGAGATGCCCCTTTGATCTGAAGGAAGAAATTGAAAACACACATTTTCTTCTCGGTTGCAAATTCAGGAGTGGGCAGTGCCTAGGTGGAAGTGTGAAGACGTGAATGGCCTTGGGTGAGTGTTCTTGAGAAATGCAGGAACTGAACCTGGGATAGGAGGAAATGCCGGCAGAAGAGACAGAGAAGTAGCTAAAAGGCAGGAGAGGAATATATAGTGTGAAAACAGAGAACCTCAGGACCAAGAAGGACCAAAAGATAAGTGGTGGAAGTTGTGGATAACATTGTGGAGTGTGGAGACTTGCTGGGTGTGGAGGTAGTTAAAAAGGAGGCAGAAACAATAGGGAGCCCCACAGGGCACAACTGTTTTGAGAAGTTTGCTCATGGAGGGAACCAGGCTCTGTGTCACTCAATAGAAAAGTGAATGGAAGGCTTTGAGGTCAAGGTGTGTATGTCTTGTGTGTGTGTGTGTGTGTGTGTGTGTGTGTGTTTGTGTGTAAACAGAATATGCTATGTTTGCAAGCTGATGGAATGATCCAGTAGAGAGACCCTGAAGATCTGGGGAAAACGAAAATTCTTGAGGTGGGTAGATGGAATGAGACCAAGAGAATGTGTAAATAACTGGACATGGAGAGGAGGAGAGACAATTTTCTAGTTTAAAAAGAGCAGCAAGGAGAGGATGGCTGGCTGGGTGTGGATGCCAGAAAGGGAGAGGTTTTGATGGTGTAGAGAGAATGTTTCAGTTTTTCAAATAAAACCACAAGGTGAAGTCAGCAACTGGGATGAGGCAGGTTAAAAGGTAGATGGTTTGAATAGGAAGGTATTGTAAGTGTCATCTCAGAGAGGGGGTTGCAAGTGTATTAAAGAAATGCAGCAGAACTCTGCCAGTCTTGAGACCGTCCTGAAAATTTTGAGTTTGCTAATTTAAGGTGAAACTAGTTTGCTGAGTGACATGAAAGCCTGCAGTTACCTCTAGCTTCTCGAGTACAGGCGTGAAAATCATGGATCATTGAGTTGGTCCTGGGAGAAGTTTTGCAAAATGATTGTGACAGAAGTTGAGAAGAGCAAGGGAACTGGAAGTTTGTAAAGGAATTGCTATACTGGACCGTGGAGCCTAAGCTGAACAAATAGCCGAGGTGACGATGGACAGGTCTGGTGGGATCCATGGATGAGAAGTTAAGATGTGGTTGAAGAAATTTTGTGGGGCAGATATTGGGTCACAGAAAGAGGAAAGGAGAGGAAATTTCCARGGTTGGAGAATGGGAGATTTCAAGACTTCGGTGATGACAAGTCTCATAGTATGTCCATGGAAGTAAATGGCCTAGGTGGAATGAAGGCAGTGACCTTTTGTCACAATTTTAAAAAACACTAGAAAAGAAGAGCCAGATAGGAAGAGAATGGCAGTGATCATTCAAATGTGTCCAGGGCRGACGATATCCTGATAGACTGATAGGAGGGTTTGGGAAACCCGGGAGGTACCCTGTGGTCTGGGGACTGCATTGGTACGTTAGAGCTATAAAGGATTAAGTTATCTCCTCTAGTTTAGACTGGAGGTTCTTGACATAACTCTCTGAACTTGACTTCCTATAACTTGTCTATAGGGAAAAAACTTACAATTAAGACTAAGGCATATGTCCTATAAAACTGACCGTAGTATTCATAGCAGTACATTAGCAAAGAGCTAGTCACGATTTTCATTGTCGTTATTATCATTGTTGCATTGCTGTTTACAGAGTTCTTATATAATAGATATTGCATCTTATTAAGTCTTTACAACAGCCAAAATGCATAGAGCATTATTCTTATTTTACAGAGGAGGAAACTCAGGCTTAGTGCAGGCGAGTAATAGTTGAATCTAAAAGCTCATTTTCAATAGGTCCATAGAGCATGAACTGGAGCCCCTGAGTTGGATTAGCCTGTAGGCACTGATGAGATCCCTGCAGGATACTCTAGTGGTAAGTCCTGGGGGTTACATACTCTAAGGTGCCCTGTGTAGTTCCCTGGGAGGTAGCTGGCCTTGTCACAGAGAAGTCCTGACATCAACATCAAAATTCACCAGAAATTTTGACAACTGCAATTTTAAGTAAAATCTCAGAGTGATCTTTTGCTCTGAGAAGAAGAAACCATTGTAGGTTAAATTATTTTAAACTTCACCTGGAAGAATAAAGATGTATTCATCTTATGCACTAATTCTTGCTTTTCTTCACTTCACAGAGTATGGTGGGAGTTTTGCAAAAGGTGTTTTGGTTTGTTGATGGACTTCTGTTAGTTAAGGAGCTCCCTGGGTCTTTTTTCTCTTCTGAGCCTTCTTGGGATTCTAGGGAAAGGAGGACTGACCATAACCAAAACTTCAAAGTAAGTGGTAAACTTTAGCAGCATAGTCTGGTGATGCTCTATGAGAAGGGCTTTCCAGACATTGCCTTTTTAATTAAAAAGACAAAGCAACCTCTAAGATATGTAACTTTATTTACAATGTATAAATTAAGACAAACAGTCTGTCCTAACATGCACAGTTCTGATAGAGACTGGTTTGACTCCAGACCCTCAACTCATCTTGTTCTAATGCTTTCTCGCCTGTCCCAGCTTCTGATATGCTCTCCCAACTTCTTTTTCCTGCTTGTCTATCTTCCCTCTCTCTGGTCTCTGCCGCAAACTTTTCCAAATGTCACCTACTCTTCCTGTTCATTGCCTTCTTCTTCCTCTTTTTCAGCCTTTGCATTTCTTAGCAAGGCCAAACTTGGAAAACTGAAGAAAAGTATCTTTAAACTAATTTCCATCAACACTGAGATGTTATCAATTTCCCCGAGTTCATAAAAGTATTTTTAAATCCCAGAAATCTTGATTTGCTTCTTTCAATGTCTTTGTTATAAAAATAACCTTATTACAATTAGAAAAAAATAGAAAGAATTTAAAAATCAAAATTTCTGTCACCTAGAAAGATGAATGATGAAGATATTTGATGAATTCTTTCAAATTCATTTTATGCATAATTGTCATCATTCTTTCTATACAACTTACTGTCTAGTGTTTCCCATTTACAATGATGAGTTTTCAATTGGTGAAATTTCAAGAAATCTTTCACAGAAATTGTACAGAAGAGAACAGAAGCAGAAAGAAGCACCTGGGTCTTTCTGACTTCAGACTTCAGGACCAGGCAGAGATGTGGTAGATTTCTGAACATTTTCCTTGTCCTACATGGTCCTTTCTGTCCTCTCCTGGATGACCTCAGAGGCGTTCTATTTACTCTTTTATAGCCATTCTGTTCCTCATTTCTCTCACCCTCCCCATTCAGACTAACCCAGTCAT